ATGAACCGGCCCATCCAGGTGAAGCCAGCCGACAGCGAAGGACGGGGAGGTAATTAACCTTCTCTTTGGTGAACACACACACTAACAAACACACACACACACACACACACACACACACACACACACACACACACACACACACACACACACACACACACACACAGGAACAATGTTCATGCAATCCACGAGACACTCCAAAGTTAGTCGCGTTGCCCATAATATAGGTCACTCACTTCTATTGACTTCCCATCTGTGCCGACGGAAGAGTTGTCTCAGGTTGACTAAAAGCAGTTCAAAGGCAAGCCAGACGGGAGAGTACGCGGCGAGAAATGAAGGAATGAGAGGAAATAAAAAAGATCAGAGAATCTGCACCGTGCAATTTCCACAATCATAGTTGAAAGGTCTGCACGTCTCAGATGAGAAGGTCCTCTCTAAAGATCCGTCGATGCTTCAATGCAGAAGAAATCTTAGAAATAAGGACTTTTACTACTCAGTGGGTTCTTATTTTCACTGAATATTTTCAACATCAAAAGGTTTGTGGTGCAGCGACGCTTCAGCAAGACTCACACAAAGCAGATGTGTTTGATTCACACACAGATTTAATAATACATTTACTACATTAAAACGGTAAAAATGTTTAATTTTAGAAAGTGAACGAGGGAAATGACTAAATTATTTTTCATGTCTACAAGTTTGGTTTTAGATTGAAAAATCTGATTTTCTTCTTTAATTACTCCAAATATTTTAAGGTTTTTTGTATCAAATAAGTAAAATAATCAGTTAAATAAGCCACTGGTGCAGAGTACAATGTTGTATTTTAAACAATCACACATTGGTCTCACAGGGCAAACATGCATGTTGGTTTGGGTTTTCTGGGAATATTGGAAAACCATAAAGTTCACTGAAATGTCGTTCAAGTGGAACATAAAACATGGGAATGCATTAATCATAATGCTAGAGTTATCATTATTACCAGTGAAATCATCCGGCCTCTCAGCTGCTGGCTGTGCTGTACCCTTTCGTAAGGAAAAATTCCAACAATAAGAAATAATAAAAAAGTCTAAATCAATCAACAAAAAAGAAAATGTGATTTTTTTTAATTGATTTTTAATAAATAATCTCTAAACGATGTCTACAGTGACAGCTGAATGGAACAGTTACAGAAATAAACACAACAATGTGCTTTAAAAATAAACCGTTGACCAGAAACCAGCAGTTTTTACTGAATTTTAGATTTTTATGTCATCCAGTTGATGCTTTTGAACTTTTGTAATTTCATTCTATCTATTTTATTTAAGAAGATGCGTCCATTTCGAACTCATTTACAACGTAATCACTTTTAAAGAGCAAGTCACCCTCAAATACTTTTTTTGTGCTGATAAACTAAATAAACGAGTGTCTAATCGTGCTGCAGACACGTGTTGTCAATAATTTGGCACTTCAGTGCATCTTAGTTAAAATGCCAATATTCTGCCTAAAACTGGCAGTGTTGTGCCGTCGTCAGGTAAAAACTCTGCACTGTATTTTAATTTAAATCTGCCACTGCTATTGGCTAAGAAGTATGCTATGATGTAAACTGGTACATTATGATGTCACAATGCTGTCGTGAGCCTGAGTGTGTGTATTTGTTAGCGGCTCCGCCCTCTCGGTCTGCCAGGCAACAGCATTTGTTGCATTTTTCAAACATGAAGTGGGAGTGGAGTTAGACTCTGGTAGGGGGTGACTTGCTCTTTAATGATTATTAAATGAACTGACTTGACCTATGTTGTCCTTCCGTTTGAAATAATTTTATCTAAAGTAAAGTTTTGGTTTGTTTATGTATTTTGAGGTGCTAAATCCAGTTTAGATCATCAGATCCTACTTCCACCTCACATCGGAGTCGGTTTCCTTGTAATTTGTGGTGATGTGCGACTTCCTGTTGAGCACCGTAGACAAACAGCAGCGGGTTTCAGAACGAAGCTGGATTCCCGTCTCTAAATTATGTAAATCTGCCTTGACGTGGTGCTGAATCTGTTGCACGGCCTCCTTCCTCCCTCTATAGCGGCGCTGACACTGTGATTGACTAAATCATTCTGAAGCCATTTGTGAGTAACATAACTGAGGTTAATACAGATTAAGCCAGTTAAAGATTTACACGGGCTGAATCGGACCTAATTGGACCGCTCTGTGTCGGCCCTGTGCTTTCATTTCAGAGTGGTGATTTGGACGGCCTGGGTCAGATTAGCCTGAGCCACTTTGTTGATTTATGTGGTCAAGTGTGAATTAGATGGTCCATTTCCATCGCTACACACAGCCCCATGTAGATCTTATTTTTGTCGTGGCGACACTTTAATTAACGGCCATCTGAAAACAGGCAAAGTCTGACCGACAAGGCCTGGGAGAGAGCCAATCAGCGTTCTCACCAAGATAAATTGTATCTCTGGGCTTAAGAGGAGAGGATGGATGGGTCCCAGCATCAATTACTACCTCTTTTTTATTTATTTCTGAGAGTAAGAGAAGGGAGATGAACAGGCAGCGTGAATGAAATACAGAGGGCTCTCAGGCTGGCACAGCTCCTGCTAGTCTGTCAGATGAACTTTCTCCACAGGAGGACGGGATAGGACACGGCCCAGAATGAAATAAGACCAAACAGACAGGCCCCAACAGAGATATTGAGCGTTGATGGCAACAGGAAGTCAGCAGAGAAGGCGGGGAAGTAAACCACAGTCATGGCTGACAATGAAATGAGATTTACAATGAAAGCTTGTAGTTAAAGGGAAATAGACAGCCCAGCCGGAGCCGAGTAAAGGAAAAACGTAGAGATTCATCTGCAGAAGGCTGAGGACCAGTCAGGATCACCAGTCCCAGAGGAGCCACAAGCCTGTCACACCCAAAGCTGAAGCAGGACATTTGCACCTCTAGAATGGAGCCACATTCATCACTACAAAGACATCAGCAATTATCTGTCATGGAAACCCGTGCAGGGTCTCGATTACGTGCTTGTGCAGGTATTAAGGCCCATTACTCCATCTCGACGCTCCAGTGGCCCCTCTTTTGTTCGCTGCGAGACACACTTTCTCTGGGGATACGGGAGTGTCAGGATAAGAAGTAAGGCCGGTGCTCATAAAGTGACGGGGGGGGGGGGGGGGGGGGGGCTGGCACCACACAATCCTGCCACTCGGCTGCCATTGTGGATCACAGAGCTGATTTTCTGGCTGTCTATTTCAATGACTCACGTCTTGCTTCATTTTTCTTCTTGGGTTTAAAAGGCAGGATGGAGCAGCAGAGCGGAGCCCCGCAGCTCTTAAATCTATTTTTGTCCCCTGGGCCGACCGGCCTCCTCTCCCCGAATGCAGGTCCTGCTTGTTGGACCAGTTCTACCCACTTCGTTTAAGATTTTAACTCTGAGGTATTTACAGACAAATGATAAAACAGGCTTTTGATGCTCTATCATCACGAGGGATGAGTCATTGCTCTACTTCTACTTGAAACCTATCAGCTTCAGCCCAGATCACACACAAACCATCAAAAGTTGACATTTTTCAGTCTCTTCTTGCCTCCTTGCATCTTCTTCTCCTGCTTAACTGTTGCTCTGTGAATGAGGAGCTGAAGCAAAGAGCAGAGACGGGATTCAACACAAGGCCCACGGAGCAATGCAAACGAGTGAGAGATGGAAGACAGAAAGAGCAAGAGGGGACGAGACGACAGGATGAGAAAGTTAACGGAGGGTGATGGAGGCAGCTGAGTGAATCTCAGCAGTAAATCATCTCAGAGCCGCCCCATCCCTATCGCCGCCTCGCCTCACCAGGAATCTTTTTCCCTCTGACCTTGTCTGCTGCTGCGTCTGTGAAGAAGAGATGGGGCAAGATGTTATATGATTGGAGATGGCCATTATCTAAACACAATCTTGGAACCAGGTCCCACTCCTGGAACCGCTGCTGTGTGACTAGAGACCACGCTGATGAGAAAGATGATGATCAGCCTGTGACGTTCTCCTCATTTTATCAAGGCTGATAAGATGTTTTCAACACTGTCCTGAAGTGCAGCCCACATCAGCCCTGACGTTGCCACATGGTGCCACTCCTGTGCACAGAGTCTTCCCGTTTATTGATGCCTCGCACATTTGCTTTCTGGGATTCTCGTGCAGCGCCAGCAGCATTGTGATGCCTGTATGCTGCTCAGTGGCCCTGGCCGGCCTTTTTAATGAGTCGCCCGTGCTTTTTGTCTGACTGGCTGAAGGGAGTCTTTGTGGACGGGTCGTGTTCGTCCTCGCCAACCTGCTGCTCTTCAGAAGGCTGACCTCGGCTGGGCAGTGAATAGATTGACAGGACCTTAGGATGTTATGCAATGTGCCGTCATGCCCTAGCCTAGCAGGTTGGGAAGAGTGAAGGCTGCTGCCTGGCTCACTCTGGCAGGCCACATGGGAGGGGCTGTCTGGGGGCATTTCACACCCAGAGAGGAGAGAGCACCACTTTACATGCAAATGAAGCCAAAAGATCCCTCTGAGCCTCTGGACACGATTGTACAAAACTCTGCAAAATCAAGAACTCTGGCAGCAGCGGTGTGCATCAAGACAAAAACTACGGACACACTGACTGCAGAAATACTAATGGCTGACCGATTATTTTCAGTTTTATAGTTTTCTCCTTTAATTGAGCCCAAAATGTAGGGAATGCATTTGCAAAACTTTTAAAAAGAAGGCAGAACTCTGGAGACCGTGTTGTTTTTATCCACTCAGACCAGAAATCTCAGAGTAATGCATTCATAAACACCAGAAATCTCAGAGTAATGCATTCATAAACACCAGAAATCTCAGAGTAATGCATTCATAAACACCAGAAATCTCAGAGTAATGCATTCATAAACACGAGGGCTGCAGCCTCGCAACACATTGCCTTCATTGACAGTTTAAATGTTTGTTCTCCCCTGATTATTCCATTTACCAACTCACTATACTGGATAATCCACTTGCATGCATCCGATAAGGACCAGCAGGAGAACGGTTTGGTGTTTGGTTGCTCATTATTTTCACGGGGATGGGGTCTAATTGCTTCTTTTAGTTGAGTAGGA